TCATTTTTACTGAAACTAATTTTGTATTTCATTAAATAATAGTAAAATATCAGATGCACTGAATAAAAATTTCAAAAATATTGTCTACATATTTAATTTCACTTACTTACCACTCTTCACTCCTTTCCCTAATTAATATAATACAGATTGACCTCTAGACATTTCATTCGTGTGTTTTACTCTCGAGTTCCTAAGTAACCGTCACAGGACTTACAAACCTATCATTCTTCAACACTTTTGAACATCTTATAAACCACCAGTACCTTAGTACAATATATGTTTCTTGTAAATTTTTACTCGATTCGCCTATTTTTTTTTAAATTATGGGTAGTTAAAGTGGTGAATTGAAAACTTGTATAGTTTTTTTTGTAATTCTCGATTTTAAGGGTGAATCATTAACCTTTTTAACTTCTCCTCTTTGGGTAACAATTAGATACAATTTTTAACTTATAGAGACGCTACTCGAAGAAATTGATTCCGGTCAAAATAAAGTTACAATGGGTGAAGAATTGTAATTATTTTCTATTTGGCATGTAAGAAATGTTGGTTTTGGGGAATTGCTGGTAAAAAGTCACTTTGAATATTACAGGGTAAATATATTGCCTATATTGGTTTAATGGAAACCTAGTGACATTCGGCTTTATTTTATAAAAATTAAAACACAGTTTATATATTAACACAGTTTTTACTTTTATTACATATTTTATAAAATTATTGAAGTCATTTAATTCAACAACAATTAGTTTTATAAATAATCTTATGAGTTAAAACATACTTATCAATGCATAATTGAAATAATATTTATTAAATCTGTTAACTGGCTACTATTTTTTCTGTTTAAAATAAATACAATATAAATTATTCTATCTTTCCGCAACACTGTAAATACGATAATGTACTATTGATGCCACATCAATGTCATTGTATGAATGAGCTGTTAAATGAAATACTGTTTGTAAGCTACAATGGAGCTCTGAAGGTAGTTTGGCCCGAAACCGCATCAAAACGGAAACCCATTTTATTCAAATGAGTGCTTACTTCTTCCATGTAGTATTTCATTATGAATACATAATAAACGTAGCGTTTAGCTCCGGGATGTCTTCGTTCAAACTCTAACATTAATTCGACAATATTCAACTGAGGATACGCAGCCGGTTGACAGTTAGAAGTCAGAATGTTGTGTAAGGTAACGAAATATCTTTCAATCAGCCGTACGTAATTCAAGCCATCTGGTAATACGACAGTGCATATCGCGGCGCTATATTCGTTGAGAAAATGTTGGATCCCCGAAATAATTTGGTAAAATACATTTGAACTCATATCGTCCCTGGTTATTAAACTTGTGTACAACAATGAGCGAATCACTATTGACACAGTAGACAAACCTTTTTGGACACCCTGTCTAAGTTGGTCCCAACAATCGTCAGTGTTGGCATTCGGCTGTTGCGACAATTCATTACACTCGCCAATAATGTTAACAGCCAACGAGAGAAACCAATAAAACCTTACTCCGTACATGCATCCCATCATCTGAGGAATCAGGCGCAGCTTCTTCCATTCACTGATTCCATAACGACGATTAAACAAACGGTAAACATCCGTCCAATCTTCTCCGTCTCTGACTAAGGTAATCCACGAATCGCGCCAATGGTCTTGTTGATAAAAACCGACGATCAGTAGCAATTGATGTTCTGTCAGCGGAACAGACGGCGCCGGTGCCATGGCCTGTACCCTCGTTCCGTTTGGAATGTTTGTAACGACAAACGCAATTATGCAAATTGAAATTATTAGATTTTTGTGCATTATGAATTGTTAAGATTAATATTAATTTGATTGAAAACGTACTTCTTCTGTAATCTGCACCAAAAACCAGAATGTCGGAACTGGAAAACGTACAATTTTTTACTAACATTATAAACTTAGTAATATAATTTGAGTAATTTATATACTTTTTTTGACATAAAGAAAATTTCATTACGATTTTTAATTGATTTATCGAATTTTTTTCAAAATCTTGTCATCCAATCGAAGATTTCATTGGACTTTATTGTCGTCGCATATTTAACAATAGATTCTCAAAACCCAGCGCGTGTATACTAATTTAAAAACTACGTCAACAACACGTGTATTAAAAACATATAATATAGGTATATACCAACCATGGATTATTTTGATTAATATTTTCTGTTTACTTCTACTAAAGTCAAAATAAATTACAATAGGACACGATCATTTTACTAACATTAGCAAATCCTAAAAAAATACACCTTTAAATTTTATTTAAAACACCAAATGAAAAAAAGGAACGATATCCTTAAAATATAATAATCGAACAACCAAGTCTCACATTGACCTCGGGGCAACAACCAGGCATGTCCATTTTTTCAAAACGTTTAAATTAAAAAAAAAATTAGAATTTTTTATTGAAAAAAACATACTCAAAACTTAAAATGGAACCAATCGGTGGAATCGGTGGAGACCGTTGACCGGATGGAGGGGGGAGGGCCGTAGGTACAGCAGAAAACTCTTGATAACAAAAATGAACATCAATCAAATGATAGACGGCTAATAAAAATGGTGGTCGATGAAATTAGATGGCAGCGATAGGGAAAGGAAGAGAGTGTCTAACATAAAACACAAAAAAAATTATAACACAGATTATACATAAACACGTTATTGACTTTTGTTAGATATATATTAATAAATAATTAAATCACAAAAAAAAAATATTTTATAAATAATATAATGAGTTTTAACATGGCATAATTCAATGGATTTTTAATAAAAATTACTAACTAGTTATTATTTGCATAAAATACCTAAATTATTTGATACTTATCCAGACATATTTTATACATAATAGATAAATTGATATATACATTAATACTTTTTTAAGTAAACCATGAAAGGTATAAATCCATATGTTGATATATTTTTAGATGGCTAACCAACAATTCATCCTGCTAAATGATAATAATCAAAAATTTTAAAATAATTTTATTTTTCATTATGTAGTATCAATTTAAAAAAATATAGCAAAATCTATAGATTTACTATACTTTTTTAGGGTGGAGCGAATACTTATATTATACTTCTATAAATAATAAAATAGTAAATTAAATGTTGATTTTCAATATAAATTTTAACCCTTTGAAGCACAGCATTTTTTTCTCCGATTTTCTCTGAACATGATTATGAAGGTGGTAATAAATATATACCACTGTGCGAGAGTAGGCTATTTTTTGAAAAAGTGGTATATTACTTATACCACCATGCTTCAAAATGTTAAAATGCAATAAAATGATTTGAAATTAATATTTTATTTTTATGTTTTAATTAAGCCCTATGTCTGAAATCACACCACAAAAAAAACCAAAATAGTCAATATTAATAAGTATCTAATTTAGTTCAAGCTATATCAACAGCAGCTCAAAAAAAAAAAAATATATATACATACATATAATATAAAAAATTAACATTAAATAGTTAGTAAAAATAAATGTTCAGACAATTTTTTTGATTTTTGATTACTACTTATAAAAACGGTCTAAGAACACAAAATGTTGAACGCTAAAATAATCTAAAGACAACTGTTTTAAGAATTTAAAAAGATGATATAGGGACTTTTGCTGATGCTTTTAAAAAACATACCTATAATTTTTTATAATAAGACTGTGTAAAAATGCATTTATTCGTTGGTTAAATAAGTATTATAAAGCCAGGGAGTAAAAACTGGAATGATTACAATAGCATAAGATGTTGCTATGTATAATGTGATTAAAATAAATTAGATCATGTAATATAGTTATTTTTTATTAAAGCGGAATGAACACATATATATTTTATGTCAATAATGTATATAAATTTTAAGCACACAAAAGTAGCCCCAGGTGTATAAAACTAAAAATCGATTGTTTTTAGATCTGAACAATTTTTATTCAGTGCATCAAATATACTATTATTATTATTTAAAAAAATATTTTTCATTATAAATATATATTTATATATATATATATATTTTTTTTTTTAATTAATCCATGTATTATGTTATTTTTAGATAGGTAAATAAATGTTTTTCTACTAAATAATTTACAATAATACTTCCTAAAAAAAAATTATCTGGAAAGTGAAATCAGATACATGATTTAAAAAAATAAAGTTATATGTTTGTCAATTTCAAAGAATTTTCTTAGCTTGAATTGTTGATTTCCACATAACTTACTGACGGGAGTCGGCTATTTGAATTGACATTTTATAGTCAACTATATATACACCTTGAAACTTGATATCAATGAACATAATGTCGAGGTAAGAAACACGCAACAGTATATTTAAAGTTCATTATAATTATTCTATTGTTAATTACTTATTATTGTTTTTTTTAGAAAATGTTACATGCTGCCAATTTTTATGATTTAAACTACGCAAAAGAACTGTGTTTTGAATACATAAAAAAAAATATAAATCATAAGAATTGTGTTAGTTTATTGGAGACTTCCACGTTAATATCGCACAAAAAGATTTACAGTTTTTGTTGGTTGTACTTGTTAAATAATTTCAGGTAGGTAATCAAGTTTGACACAGGGTCATGACAGTTAATGAAATAATCAAATAATATTACGGTGCATTTTTTTTTTATTTAGCTTAATTATAAATTCGGATTCATCGTTAGAATACCTATATGAATTTCAGTTTGATGATGTCGTCGAGTTAATATCAAACGAAGATTTAGTAATAGACTCTGAAGAAAAGGTATATTATTCTAAATTGAGTGTAAACGTTCTTGTCAATTACACGCATAGTTATTTATTATTATAACGTGATTAGAAACGGAAGAAAATAGTTATTGTCAACAATATCAATTTTGTTTTAGATTTTTGATTTTATCATCGGTTGGATAACCTATGACGCGAATGAACGAAGTCCCTTGTTACCAGATCTCATGAAATATGTACGTTTGCATTTAATTTGAAAAGTGGGACTTCAACGAATTTGTGATGAACCTTTATTGAAAGCAAACGATGAGCGTAAGTGCATTTTCAATTCACTTTGTATAATAACAAGGCAAAAACGATGAAACCCACACGATGGTCGAAAATGAGTTAAGTTTTTTTTTTCAGTATATTTATCTCTAAAGACAGAAATCTACGTTAATCTACGTGTCAACTCACAAGATAGATTAACATTAGGGAGGAACCTGCTACCCAATGTATGTAAAACAATTTTAATCATCGTGTTTTACACGTTTAATTGGTTTGAATGTTATTTGTATAAATTTATATTTAGGTTATTTTGGCAATTAATCGTCGTTCGATTAGTGGCAATTCCTCTGTAAAGTATATGGATATTAGCAAAGATGATGATATGAAATGGCGACCAACCACACATTTGTTTTTTTGTCCACCTCGCAAAGACGTGACAATGGTGGTCTCTGAAAACGGAATAATAATTGCAATTGGCGGCACAAATATGTATGATGATTATATCAATAGTGTAGACGAACTTGACCTTAAGTTAAAAAAATGGGTTCCTACATCACAGCTCATACATCCTCGAAAAAGTTTTGCCGTCTGTACTAATAAGCAGTTTATTTATGTCGTGCGTATTTTATCGATTGTATAGTTAGCATAAGAAAAACAACATTTTTTACAAGAACAATTTTTTTTTTTAAGGTAGGAGGCTATGATCTTGTATCTCAACAATTTTCTAATTCAGTAGAATATTATGATACAAATACAAAATTATGGACGGAAATTATTGAACCCATGCCCACGGCTCGAGACTCGTGCAGTGCTATAATCAATAATAATCAGTTATATGTTGTAAGTGAATTCCATTTTAACATAAAATCCATGTCTACTTATACTTTGTTAGTTGTTGTAAAAATAATGTTGCGTAATGTTGGTTTGTTTAATATTATGCGTTTTTATTGTTTCACATGTAGTTTGGTGGATATGACTTTAATTATCTTGCGACTGTAGAATACTATGATTTTGAAAACAAGTATTGGGAACAACTCGATCCTATGCCTATCGCCAATTCTAAGATGGCTATTACTAGAATAAATAATTTCATTTATCTCATCGGCGTTGTATTTGGACACACTAGAATTTTTAAATTCGATGTACACCATTTCAAATGGGATGAAATTCCTAACATGCATTCGGGAAAACAGTTTGCCACACACAGTCAGTATATACTCATTCAAGTATATTGTACATTTTTTTTTTACTTGTAAATTTAAATTGCAGACGTGGTTAACAAAAAAAACGACTTAATCGTGTTTATAAATGATGGACAACTTACTTGTGAAAGATATGATGTAGAAAACAAACAATGGTTTCGGGTTGACACTGAATTCAATTTCAAGCCATCACCAGGAAATGGTCATATCATTTATTTTAATGATTATATTTTGAAATCGTATGGTATTCACTTATAAGTTATAATTCATTTATTTATAGATATCATTGTATGACTTTAATTTTGTATTGAAATTATTATTGAAACCATTTAAAAAAAAAAAATTATACTTCATTGTTTATATGCAACATTAAGGGTTGTGTCCTTATTATATTTTGGTTGGCTACATCAGTGAATAATCTCTTACATCAGAAATTTGGTTTGGTTAAAGAGTACAAACAATTTTATAATATTGATCGTTGTATTGTAAATATTCATTTGTGCGGCTCTGTCAAACGATATGAACCCGCTATTGATTATTATGTCTAAATATGTTTATTGGAACTAAATAGGGAGGTTTGATTAAGAGAGCTTGTTTTGCTCATTTGGATACACCGGTCGGTTTATGTGCTTGTTTAAATTAAAAAATAATCAAATCAATATAAATTTGTGACAAGAGGAAAATAATTTTATTTAATTTAAAATTAACCTGTATAATAATAGTATTATTGTAATATGTGTTTGGCTTCTTTTCGTTTTACCGTTTTACAAGTTGGTCGGTTTACTTGAGTAGTAGGTTTATCAGAAAATATTTTAAAATATGATTTGGTTGTGGCACACATTTTGTCCATGACAGATTGTTGAAATTTGTGCACAATAATCCAAGCCGGTTTCTATCGTTGCGATTAAAATAAAAATATATTTAATTGAGATCAACTTGTGACAGAAACAAGCGAAAAGTTTTTTTTTTTACAACAACTAGATAATTATATCTAAAAAAACAATTACTATACTTTTTTATAATTATTGGTTGTTCTCTTTATTGAGACCATAGATTTTTGAGGTGTAAATAAGTAAATAAAAAGGGTTTGCGATAAAAATATTTAAAACTGCAAAATTTTACACTTATTGTATCAACTTGGATTATCGGCGGTGTGAAATCACCTAATATATGTCTTGAGAGAGAAGAGAAAAATTTTTTCATACATATTTCAAGTTAACATAAATTTACAGATTGTTTTACTCCTGTGATTTTACAATATTCAAAAGAATCTGGGATTATCTTACCCCAATCGTTTTCATCTAACTAAAAATACAATTTTATCAATTCTTTCGACTTTACAATTATTCAATTATCAATATTTCTACCAACTCAAATTTACTTCAACTACACTGTGCTGGCTATTTTCTCTTGATATAATTGAACTACAATAACAATTTTACATGTAGTCGAAGAACAAAATAACTTAACCCCAAGCAGTCGGGCTTTTGAAAAATCCCATTTGCTGTTGCGCTGCGGTGTTTACACCACTTTCTATCTTGCCGTGGGAAAATTGTTGTTTTTTCTTTCACCTATCGTGATGATAATTTATCAACTAGAGAATACTAAATGTTACACTAGACTCACCTCTCACATTTAAATGCTGTGCGCTGTTTTTAACATTAGTGATGTAAACACTGCTGGCGCAAGCGCTAGAAAGTTAATGTAACAGTAAAAATACAGCAATATAATCTTTATATTCCACACACATTTTTGGAACAAATTCGACTATTTATTTTAAAAAGTTTTAACTTGCTATAGATGTATTATAACTTAATATTATTAGGTTGAAAAATGCGTAAAATGTTTTGTCGATCGATTACCCGAATTTACCTGTGATAATATTCTGACTATTCCTGGTTGTTGAGTTCCTACTAAGTATTTGATTCTTTTGCGAAAAGAGCAAATGCTCTTTCCGAAAGAAACGACTGTAAAAATGTTTACTTCTACCATTACTAACGGTTCAATAGTTTGAACGTTTTGTTAACAACATATTACTATATGCATATAAGCTCAGAAATTAAAACGCTTGTATAATAATTCTAGCAGTATTAAGTATACGCGTAAGAAGATGAAAATCACAATATTTTTATAATAGTTCTACAAGCGGTGTTGAATCAAAATGTTTAAAGAAAGCTGAAAGATGTGTTAAAAGTTATAACGTTTCGGTTTAATTGATAAGACGGGTCGCGCCGGGTGATGGGCAGTTGTCCGAAAAATGATAAGATATACAACACAAGTATAATAAACTAGATTGATAAGAACTATTGATAAGAATTGAAATCGACGTCCGCCATTTTTGTGGGATTTATGTGTGTGTGTGTAAAATAAAATATATATAAATCTGTGATTCTGATCTATCAACTTTATTTGTAATTATTGTTATAAGCAATGATGTCAGTTATAAAAATGTGTTAAAGTTCCAATTCCCACAAAGATGGCAGAAAATGATAAGTTCAATTATCTTTATTGGCAATCGCTTAGCAATCTAGTTTATTATTATTTATATATCCGGGTTGGTTACCGAGTACAATATTATATTAGTGTCATACAATAATATTACAGAAAGGTCACTTTCAATTTGAACAAAAAAGTGACGACCATTTTGTAAATATCTATTAGGTATTATGTATTATAATTATTAAAACAAAACAAAAATAATACAACTTTATTGTTGATATAATAATATAGTATAATTTATATTAAATAGTACTTTTTTTAGGATTAAAGTGCATACAAATAATAATTTTAATAAACCATGAGTGTAAAATGTATGACAACCTTAATAAATATATTATGAAGTTTCACCCTTTGGGTTTTTTAATTCGTTCAGAAATTCTATTCGTTCTGCTGGAACCATTAGGAATTTCATCAATTTGCCAAATTTTGTCCTATATATTAAGGTAGCTGGATCTGTTAATGTGATACTAGATTAATATGGATGAAACACTTAAATGGTTACAATAATAATATGTAACCTCAGAGGTAGAGGTCCCTATTACACGTGTATTCGATTACAATGTTAATGGTTAAATAGCAATCAACTAGTGTTACCTTCTGGACGACGCAAATCACGATTATCAATTAACCAGTTTCTCATAAGCTCGTGGTATTCTACAGGTAAAATAGCTTTCATTTTTGTTTCATTAGTGAAACCTATGCCCTCAAAGATTCCTTGGTCGTCTATAACCAGTATTTCCGCAAAAGACCATAAATCTTCTATCACCTAAATTATAATTTTGGATTTCACACAATAATTTCACAACTTATACATAGGGCGCTCAGAAGCCAAACTGATTAACTCCATAAAATGCAATTTTTCAGGACAGGCAGTTAAAGTTATTTGAACAATGTATGTAAGTACAATTGCCAATTTTCTTGGCCCACTCTAGTGGTGAAAAATTCAACTTTGTAGTTATTTAACTTGGCCACTGAAAATTGTACACTTTTTTTAATCCAACCATGCTATTTATTCGCAATTTGAAAAAAAAGTGGAGTTAATCGGTTTGGCATCTGAGCGCCTCATATATTTTAAACACATTCACGTTAAGTAATTGTTATGTAAGATCCGATATAATTTTGTATATTTTGGCACCTGGCATCATACTTTGATTAATTTTAACTTCTATATTTTTTTAAATAACACGAAACTTTGTAGAATGAAGACAATTTTTTGTTAAATGTTTGTCAAGATTGTGGTCAATTTGCCATTATTGCATGTATATAAATTTATACATAGTATTGCCAGTCTTAAAATACTAACAACAATTTGTAACTACTATTAGAGGAAGTCTGTGTGTCTAAGTGAAATTGATTAATTCGTACACACCATGTTACAGCTTTTGTGAGGTATTAAGAAATTCAATATTGTTAGAAATGTTTTATTTAAAAATGAATACGAAAAAAATTGTAATGCAAAGTTGCAACAACAAAGTTGTTTCAATAATTTCTATACACATTTTTTTTATTCAAACAATTATGTTAAAAAGTTTTTTTTTATACGAAGATTTTTAAAAATATACTCTAAAAACAAATAATTGAAAGAAATTAGTAATTATGTTGTTCAAAAGAGTATAAACAGTTATTAGAGTAAAACAAATTATAGAAAAAAGGCACCCTTTATTAGGCTGACTTCTCTAGCTGTTGTATGGCAAAAAAAATTACAAAAAAAAGGTGGTAAAGTAAATCTATTCCAAAAAAAATAATATATATGAACCGTTTCTCACAGATTGTTAAAAAAAAATTAACTACAGTTACCTGTTCTGTCGCATCGTCGGTAGGGTCCAGTCTATTTTGAATTTCAACTTGTCTTAGCATCTCCTTTTGTCTAACAGTTTCTCTGCTATGGCTTTGCATAGATTTTGCTGGTTGACAACTCACAATCATTACAATCCACAATATTATAACACATTTAACATTCATTTTTTACCCTCTAGTTGGAAACTTTAAAATATGACTTTATCTAAATAACAGTAGAACGATTTTTATGCTGTGTAATGGCCAATTTTATAGCGCGTTTCTGTAGAATATCATTACAATAATAATTAATCAAACTGTGGCATGCCCATGCAATTTATTTCATTGTGTAAACATTAATGTGAAACTGTTAAAATATTAAAAAATGTGTATTATTCACAAACGCGTGTATTGAAATGTTCGACAATAAGTTAAAACTGTACTTTATTAAAACACATACCATAGTGACAGGTTAAGTCCTACAAGTTTAATATTCTTTTTTTTTTCTACTATATTTTTTATTTACTGACACCGCATGTTAAGTGGGTATGGCTAACGCGACGAACAAAATGTAACCGCCGCCAATGTAAATTATTTTTAATGTTGGGAACGTTAATGCTATGCTTAGGTATAATGACTAGCTGATCATGATTTATCGCCTCACTGTTCCAACCGTAGTTCGAAAAAATTCAACTACCCGTTTTATGCTTTGAAATCCAATTTATTGTACTGTGTTGATAATTAATATTTTACAAACAATCGAAACAATTTACAATCAATTTTGCTTTTTTAACAATTTTACATAGTATATGAACATAGGATAGCCGATGGCAATAGTATACTGCACCATAATACCAAATTGAAATAACCATATATTCTGAATAAGCTAATAGTCGTTCAATATATAACGCATTGAATTATTAATTGCTGTCATAAAGTCTAATACATTCGTATTATTTTGTGCGCAAACTGTTCTCACGATGTCATCAAATAGAGCTGGGTGTATATTGTCTAGAAAAAAAAAAAAGAATAACATATATACATTTAAGTATAAATAACCGGCAGTTGCGCCGTGCACAGAAAAAAAAAAGACCAAATCTATACAAAAATACTATTTATTATACTTTGGCTAAAAGCGTTGTACTAAAATCATCTGTCTTGGCGGTTCACGTTACTTTTAATAACACCTTCTCGCTATTTTTTAAACATGGAACTAAAATTTGATATAAAAAATATAAAAATGAACTTTTTCAACTCGAATGACAAAGAAAAATATCACATTGAGTATTTTATTTGAAAACTACAACACATTCGTGAGTGGTTTTCACTATAACTATACAACAATAAAAAAAAAGGAATATATCCAAAATTTTACAAGAGTGAATTTTTTAATATGATTTTTTTTTTTAGACCACAATGCTAAAATTTTTTATTATGGCAAATACTTATAATGATTTAGGGGGAAAGTAAAGGTTTAACTTTTCATGCGAATGAGAATAGGTCCCCCCCTCCCAAGTCTAACTACCTCACTGCTTCGCATCAAAGGAAAAAAAAACAATAATTGTTACATGATAAATGTAGTATATTTAATGGTTACTTTGGTATTGTGTTCCAACTCTTTTGATTCTGAAATACTCGAGTATTTTATCTTTATTAGTGGTATTCAAAACAAATAATAAATGATCAAATGTAAGGTTACTTTCAGAAGGAAGGTTGAAATATTTTCTAGCTAGCTCGAACGCTTTTTGTATTGCCTGAAAAGATTTGAAGCATGTCATTTAAAAATTAAAGATTTTGTGAAAAAAACTGAAACTTAAGGCTCTTAATCTTCTGAGGTAATATATCTTAGCTAAATCACCCTGAATTATTCATATGAAGAAAATACAGAACTTTACAGAAAGTTATTATAATAATTTCCTATATGAATAATATTGTTGTGTTACAATATTATTTAATATCATTCATTTTAAAAATTAATCTGGATTTCAACATTTGAAATTAGGATTATAGAAAAATCTGAAAAAAGAAACTGATACACAAAAAAACGTCAAATTTCTAATTCCGCATTTCCCAAACAATACTTAGAAGTTATTCAATTAATAATATATTCTTATAGTCAGGCCAATAGGTTTTAAATAATAACTAGCTGACCTTGGCTGTCCTCCTTTTAACATTAGGTGTCGTTGGCTTGCAGGCAAATATCTCTTAAAATCCCTATCTCGGTCTAATCTTTCAATTTTTGATTCTTTCTATTCTCTGTTTTTAACAATATGGCGTTACGTTCCAAAATCTCTTCCCGTTCTTTCTTTGACTGCAAACTCCATTTCTTCTTTCCAGCAATACATTTTAAATTTCAATAAACATTCTCTCTATGATCCCCATGATTCTCTTCTCCGTGTTCTCCTTATTCACATTCATAATTTCTTGCTATATTCCTCCCTAGCGTACCTTTTAAATCCACCTCTCGTAATGTAGTAAATTCTCTTTTCTCTGATTTTCTTGATTCAAACTTGTCAGACTTCATTGCCATCTACAAATACATGGGTTCGCCAACAATGATACAACATACTGTCCAGTTTTAGAAAAAAAAATCTTTATAAAAGTATCTTATTTAAGAAAAAATAATTATAACAACTATTATATTAATTTAGAAAAAAAATGAAAAAGTATTAAATTTAGATTGTCTATTTAAACAAATGTATAATTACCAAACTTTCTTGTCTCATTCTTGTCCGTTTTTCTACCATGCCAAAAGCACCCTGAATAACTATGTAATTAATTACGAAACATAAAAAACGAATAAGTATTTTACAATAATTTTTTTCTTCTTTAAGATTTGGAAATTGTTATTTAAATTGGAATCTTGTATGAATGGTGGATAGTTTTACAGTGAATTTTCGAAGAACAACATGCTTATTATAGTAATGATTTTTTATCATAACATGTTATTGACATCTTTCATTGGTGTTCTTTTATAGAATATTTTTGTTATTTAAAAATGTTTGGGAATAAAATACCTTTGTTAGTTAATCAAATTGTCGTTTTATGGAAAATATGTTTTACAATGATATGTTTTATTTAGTTTTTTCGATGGATGAAAATACTAAACTCAAATAACTTGATCGATTTTATAATAATTTAGTTATGCTTGGGTAGTATTCTAGTTAATAATAGTATTTTAATTAATTTTGGTGCTCTACTTTCCAGTCCTTGCTTTTCTTGTTTTCCTTCGATTTTGCCCACCAATAAACTAGTGTATTTTATTATATTCCGTCCAGTTCCAACGCAAATAAATCTTACAAGGCGTCGAAATAAAAGTTCATCTATGTTGTCTACAGAAATAATTTATAAATAAATTGTTAAAATATAAACAGCTGTTGCACGCTATACAGTAGCCCAGGAAAATAGTTAGTTACCTGTTAATTGATAGTTTAGCCAGTCCATTGGATAAATCGTGAAGTACTTATCTACTAAGTGTACATGAGAATCGGAAGGATCCACAAACGCAAAAAACCGATCCAAGGTAACATTACTAATTGGCTGATCTGGTTGAGTTTCAAGAAGATTTGTCAGGTATGCATAAACGCCACTTAGATGCTGAAATTTGGGTTTACTATTAGTGTTACACAGGAGATTATTCATTAAGGAAAGTACACTAATTTTCTCTTAGAACGATTGCAAGTTTTTAATTTTGTAGACACTTTAGTTAACAATATTAGACAATATTCAAATTTCCATATTTTTTTCCAGATCTCTATCAAATATTAATAGTAAAATGCCAAAGTATAAAACGTTTATTAGGTTTAAAATAATTTGCTGAACATTTAGGTTGGTCGATTACTAGTTTCGGATAATTCATTTTAAAGTTATTGTTATGTTTGGTAATTTTATGGTATTTTAAAATATCATAAACAAAAATATTTTCAAAAAGAAAAACTAAAAAACTGCAATAATTATTTTAAGAACAAAAAAAATGGGCGTCTTATCCCTAATTAATTGCCCTGTATACCGTTTTATAAAACTGGTTGTAGAACTTATAGGCGCATTGACTAGATAATAATCATATGTAATAAATACAAAATAAACTATCATCACGTGATACAAGTTCAGAGAACAAAATTACTCAAATAAATGTTTATTTAAATAAATATACCAAAAAAAAATCAACTGTAATTTTATTATTAATCGTTATTTAATTGTTTATTTATGATCAATTTTTCATTCGAGACTAAAATATTAACTATTTACCAATAAGTATTTGTTTAGGAATAAAATTAGTATTTTATTATTAATAAATAATATGATTATGAATAATTTTATTTAAAAAAAAGTTTTCTTTTTTTTTTAAATAACGTACTTGGCTAATAGCTAAAATACTACCATTGTACCGTCCATAATATTTAAGACAAAAAAAAAATACGTGGTAAAACTTGGACCATTATATTATAATAAAACATAAATTATTATTGCTGAGAAAATATAAAACAATATTACCTCGTTCTCGGTAGATTCTGGGACCAAATCAGGCGGTGCGCCCAGGACATGGTTAGCAATAAAAAAATAATTTACTAACGATATAATGAACTTGAAGTGCATTTTATTATTATATCTGCTTTAGTCTAAAGGTTAACTCAGAAAAATTTGTCTTCAGATGCTTGCCAATCACACATGTGGAGCAAACAGAGAATTAATCATTTTTTACAAACAAGTGTTTTGATATTGAATCACCTGTAAAATAGCGTTATTCAAAATGTTTTGTCTTCAAATAAAATTGTATATTACAGCAAAATAAAAATTACCAAAAAATAAATAATTTGTTCATCAAGTGCTCTATTAAGTTGTATAACTTAAAATAACTTTAAATTGTTTCATTAAAATGTTTTTTTGATTAATGAAATAAAATAGTTCGTTATGTATAATAACGTAAAACAACTCTTCTAAGGTTTCTTAATTTTTAAGAGGGAAGTGGTGATTTGTTAAACTTCTTAACATTCCTAAGAAGGTACCTTCTGGAAACGAGTTCATTTCAATTGATTTGCTAATAAAATGCCCAATAATTATGTTATGTAAATTGGGATCTGGCAAAAAATAAACGATGCAGTAGTGATCGTTTTTAACTATTTTATTATAATGGAAAATTTTATACTTATAAAAAAGGGTTCATAATTTAATGTATCCACTTTATTCTTTCCGAATTTACTGTGATTGTATTCTGTTTGGTATTGTCATCGCATAATTATGAGAATTTACGCAAATTGAGAATTTTATTAAAAATTTTTATTTCAAATGGTTTGCGCTTTTGCCTAAACTGGACCGACCCCACATTGGTGCCACTTTTATTCCATTATTTTGTATTACTTACTTATTTGAAATTATTGTCTTTATAGAATTTTAAGTGTATAACATCATTGCGCTCAAATTTTGTAAAATTTTTTTTGGGCTTTTGTGTGAGCATTTAATAATAATGTAGCTATGATATGTTAAGAAATAGAATTGTATAATAAATTATAAGTTGACAATATTCTCGAATCATATATACTATTTTGGGATTTATGCACATGTTTTAACTTTTTTTTATTATTATTTGCTGGGTATATTGTTTGAGTGTTCATTAAACAAAAAATAAACACTTGTACCAAATACAGAAAATAATTA